GTATAATATATATTGATATATTGTTAAAAAATGTAAATATAATTAAGTTATAATGACACATAATATATGTTGTTAAATTTTATTTAAAATCAATATTAAAATTGTGTGTAACTATATATTAAATATATTTATATCTATATATATTTTGTATCTATAGTGAAATTTTTTGTATGTTACTATATATAACATTTCATATATAATGGTCTTACAAAAACTTGTTTAAATATCCTTATCATTAGAACATACAACAGAGATATAAAGGCTAATTTATAAATTTATAACATGATCATTGAAATTTTTTTATTGCAAAATATATTTAAAAACAAGTCATCATAATGTAAAATCATTAATTCTTGAAAATATGTTTATACCATATAAACAAGACAAACTTGATTTTTATAAAATCTAACATGTATATATTTATCTTTGTCTTGATGTTAAATTGTCTCAAAGTAGGTCCTTAAACAGACTATAAATCAAGTCAGCTATGTAAAAAAATCTATAATTAGTAAATAAGTCAAACTCATATAATGTATTTTAATTGAATCAAAGCTAAGCGCAAACCTAACGAAATCTAGCATATTTTCACTCTTAACAGCCCAATACTACTGGACAAAACCGGCCAATGACATGTATTGGAGCTACCAACATAAACTCGCCTGGAGAATTATTTCACAATTCTAAACAGTAAATATTAACTCACGGAGAAAGATAGAGTACACAAATTAAGGAATTACAATAGTGAAATCTCATTAAGAAAGGGGAAAGATAAAAACTGATACAAAAGGAATATGTATCTACCATGCACAACAGGAAAACAAATGAAAAAAAGAGAGTAAAATAACCTAACAGAAACTAATTGATAATACAATTTTTAACTCATGTATATGGGTTTTGGTACCCTTGTACCTTCATATATATTTATATAAATATTTGTTGGCTGATAAAAAAAAAACTAACTTTATAAAACTAACAAACTGTTACTTTACATTGGTAAGAGTAATCAATTTCACATGGTTGCAGCTACCAACTAACACTTAAGCATCTACAATCCAATCCAGTATCTCATTCAAGGAACTTAAAATAGACTCCACTTATATATATATCACTCACTATTTTTTATTTAAAACCTCTATAAAGTATTCAATTCCCCCAACTCGGCATCTCTACAAAACTTACTAAATGGATCAACGGTATAGAAATTTAATCACATGCTGCCTTTGTTTTCAATATAATTAATGCCAACAGTAAAAATTCAACCCTATTATTGTTTACACGCCCCTGATTTCTTTTTTTTACAATTATTTTTACTATAAAACCAATTTCTGGACCGGCTTTGCAATGTTAAGAACCGGTGCTTGTATAAGCACCCCATCTTAAATAGGAACTCACTCCAAGGACAAAAATTAAATAAGGAGTAATACTCTTAGAAGACATAATACTTGTGTTACGAGTGCTATTAGGTGTTCTTAGATATAAATCTTTAACTACTTGTGCTAACTCGCATTTGCAAAATTTATTATTAAATGATATTATAAAAATACTTATGCTGTTAGTGTATTTAATAAATTATTTATTTTTAATTAATTGTTTTTCGAAAACCCTAATTAATTAAAATGATTGTATACGTAGCGTTAGTAACCCTGGACTGTTAGTAATCACTACATAAGGTACTATCGCTTTATAGTACTATTTTGAAGCAGTTAACTTGCACACATAGGCAGATCAATGTTGAATTATTTTACTTTAAGAAACATTTTAAACCCAACTGATTGGAAGTAGATTAACGAATTGGGCTTGCTACTAAAAGTCAAAGAAGGCTTTCCCAGTCAAATAACTTTTTACTTTTAAGGTGGAGGTCACAGAATTCATTCATTATACCAGAAAAAGACACATAATTCATATATATATATATATATATATATATAATATAGACACACACTAACCCTAAAATATTAGTTTATTTTGGAATAAGACTGATTCTTACATTTGACAAAAGCAGTAATTAAGTTTGAAATTTTATTCATCTCCTTTGGTAAAGTAAATATAAATATTTTGCAAGTATGGAGGTATTCTTTAATGTAGATTTAGGATATATATATCATAATATTCCCTCCTCATAAAATTAATAATATAAAAAGAAAAGAATTTGAAATGTGGCCTGAGAAGTAATTGTCAAAACTTACAGTGTAAATCATTGCTCGAATTGATTAGCAGTTTGAGTGTTGATTTTCAAAGTTGGAATATTTTTGGTACACTCAATTGAAGTTGACACATGACGTGTGCACGTATACCTGTCTGTAAATACTATTAGCATGACAATAGACTTGTTTGTCTCTTTTGACCACATTGAAGACGAATAACGTAAGTACATTAGTACGTGTTTGGTTCTGTGAGTCTATGAATAGAGAGAGGTGTTGAACATGGAAATCACATAACGCGAGCGAAAGATACAAGTCGTGGACCCATTTTCTTAGGTCCACGAGGACATAAAGAATTTGTTGTGGGGGCTTAAATAGGGCTAGGACCCCCCCAACTCCCTCCACCACATGTTTGTCCTTTCTAATAACCTCACCCTGCAATTTTTCACCTGCTCTTTGCTTCTTTTCCACGTCTTGGTGCAGAGGAAGATTGATGGATTCTGAAATTATAACTATAGCATTCATTCAGAGGAACAACAAGTTCAGAAAGCCATACTCACTTTTCTCTGACCCCTACAGGGCTCATATCACTATTTCCTAATTTCATTACTATTTATTTTTCTTCCTCCAATACCATATAGTATATTAAATACTATACTACCAATTAAAAGGGACTTGACGAATATAAGGTAGATATTCTGAGGGATTAGATTTGGTTCACCAAAAATTCCAAGAAAGAAAAAGTCGAGGCTTTTGGTGATCTCGAGGAGAAAGCTGGGTCAGAGAGAGAGAGAGAATGTGTGTGTGATGAATTAATTGGAGGGCTAATTAAGAAGAGGACGTGACTCTCACTTCTAGATAGCTAAGAAGAGGAAGAGGGTCTATGTCAGGCCCTCCCCTCCCTCTTTTCTTTGAAGGGATGTTGTGATTTATCTGGATTCTTATGAGTGTAACAGTGCCCGTGCTGTGTGCTGCGAGAGGGAGAAAAGTGACTGACAAAAGTGATCCAAGGGAGGGAGAGAGAGAGAGGGAACCATTTGGCTTGCTCAATGAGTGAGAATGTTCATAAATAACACTGAAAATTCATCGAAGAAAATAAGGTTATGTCTCATAATTTTCATCATTAATTAATTTCAAGACTCCTTAAACAAAAAACTAAAGATGAAAAATACTTTGGGGGTTTAGTTTCATTCATGGCTTTGTGTGGAATTAAAATGACGGCTTGCTTTTCTTTTGAAAGGTGAAAGGTTTCACTGTTACATTTTTTTCAGGGAACATGTAGCTAGAGCGAATGCGGCTCAAGGTGCGTGTGAGTTGGAGCTCTTCTTTCTCTTTTGTTTTGATTTTTTTTTTCCTCTTCTTGTTTTTAACATTTTAGTATATGATCATGGGAGAAGATATAAAACCCTAACACTATAATTTTCTCGTATTTCGAAAGGTTTATTGCTGCAATGTCTACGATTCTGATGTCGCCAGGATCGGTTCAGAATTTCACCTGTCATATAATTGCAAACTAACATTTGCCTAGAAGTAAACAATTTCATAGTATTATATATAAATGTATAAATTAGGAGCAATTCAATTCTATTGCTTAATTAACGAAAAAAATAGAACATTTAATCAAAATTTATATTAGTCGTGAAAAAAATAAAAGGATATTTATTTGTATATATGCATGCAAGTTGTTGCCAATGTATAGCTGCAGTTTATATGAGAGGTGTGACTGTTTGAGTTTCACTGCATTGTCCTTGGGTGGGGGGGGGGGGGGGGGGG